GAGAAGGTCGCTTATCCAGTATGACTGTGTGCTTCCTACACTTTAAAGCTGATCGCATTAGAAATAAACTGCCCCCCCCCCCCCGTTTCACTTAAAATCACGGACGTAATTGCCGTTCAGCCATGTTTTTCGTTCCATCACTTTAAGTTCGAATTTTCCCCTCTTCCCGACAAGCTTGCCGGAATCTATACTTAAAAACTACTAGCATTTCTACATTTCTTAAAAACCATTGGGAATGTTTCCATCTTGTAGGGTCGCAAAAGACAGGGAGGTATTCGGTTTGGAGAAATGGAAAGGGACGCGTTGCTCGCACATGGTACCTCTTACCTTTTACAAGATCGGCTCATGAACTGCTCAGATAGGACAGTGGTGAGAATTACATCCTGATAAGTTTTCTTTGACAGTGTAGATCAAACCATTCCACAAATGTTTCCCTGTAAATTCTCCCGGCTCAAATCTGACAGGCGCTTGTCAGTGTAGATCCATTACTGGTCATGGCAATTGTATAGGGTAAAACTGACGTTGTTTAGTAATTCGTCGCGTATGGAATGTCGAATGGATTAAAGAATTTAGATAGAATTTAAGGACTTGCGCAATGATAAGAAACTGTTTTTGAAGCTAAGTTATTCGTTCACTGGTCATCAATTCTGTTCAAATTTTCAAGCAGGTTACCGTTTACTTTTGTTTTTTCTATTTCTAGGGTCATGTATGCACAAAATGTGGTAGCATTCTCTCCCCTCTCCTGGAAAAACCCGTCGACGAGCTTGCAGCTGCGGCCGCGTACCGGAAGAGGAAGTGGATCTGTAAAGTTTGTGAAAGCAGCGTGCATGTTCAGTTATTGGCCTTTCCTTATGTCTTCCGGTATCTTGTGGCTGAGTTAGCGGGAATGAATATTAAGACGTGTTTACAAGTTAAGAAAGTTGGCACGTGAAAGTTTTCAGTATTTCATACGTGTTACACCAAAGACCTAACTTTGGTTCTTAATTCTCTAATATGGTGACCAGGTGACGGGATGGACAGCCAATTGACAGCAGTGCACACCTGTAATGAACAGTCTTCTTTAGACCAATGAACTGAAATTTCTACCAAGTTTTGGAAAGAGTCGAAATCTCACGTGAAGGGGCATTAACCTCAAATTTCTTTTAAGGAAATGAATATGTAGTAAGACCGTATAAGATTTCTGTACCGGAAGTAAAATCCTAGACGGATTTGTGCAGTGAAAGAAACATGTATTAATGCACAACATTCAGGACTCATTTCTCATCTTGTTCCACTAAGAAAGTATCAGTTCCAACCACACAGTGTAAAAACCTTTATTACTATACAGATAATATGGAAAAGCACAATGAACAGTAACGTTTGGGTTCTCTTTACAGTCAATAAATGGGCTGTGTCTAAAGACTAAGTTTACAAAACCTACATTAATTTATCGTGTTATGTTGTTTAAATTGTCCTGGATGCCTTACTACACTATTAAGCCATATGAAACATGCAGCAGTTTTATCTTTTAGCCAGCATATTGTTACACAGATTGCTTAACAGTAACTATGTTATTATACTTAACAGTCAACTTTGTTGATATATTCAAATTATTTCGTTACCCCCACCGACGCAGCCCTAAACCGTTTCTTTAGAAACTATCAGCCTTTATTCATTGCTGTTATTGTACAAGTATTTCTAATTATATTGCTGAAGATGAAAACTTTTAGTTCTTGGTCAATTTGAAGATAACCAAGATCCATCAAGGAAAATACTTCTGTGAGTGAGGCATCCCCTTTGGTATACCAGCAATGCAAAGAGTGCTATTTGAAACTTAGCCAATAAGTCAAGGAATTATGACACAATGTATTTCAGTTGAGAATTTTGAAAAACATTCAGATAATAACTGAACACTAGACTTCTGGAGCATAAAATAAATTTGTAGGATACAAAAAATGGAACTCAAGAAAGTTTCTATGTGCACAAATTAAGAAGGGTTTTGGAAACATGTCTTCCCAAAATAACCAGTGCTATGGAGCCTGGTGATGTGGTTGAGAATAAAAAATACATTTCACCGGAAATTGCTGCATTGACTAGTTCTTTGAACCTGTGGACTTCAAGGACAAGTGAACTACCTTTTGTCACCATTTCATTGTCAATCCAAAGGAAAGCAACTGCAATTGTAGTGTGGGAAGTCAAAATTGTAATTTGATGGCTGGAAAAATAATCCAATTCATAACTTTAACAGTGAAAGGCATAAATATTTAGGTCCAAAGAGAAAAAAGTTTATGGAAGAAAGTATATATGTTGAAATAAAAAGATAGCCTTGGTAGTTCTCAAAACTTGAATAAATCCCTGTCAATAACTAACCCAAACATATTATCTTGCGCTTTCAGTCAATCATCCAGTGCAGACATCATCAGCCTTACTATTGCAAACCACTGTGTGCCAACATGGAGCCACCATTGTCACAGAAACTATTACCATCAACAAGACCTTCTACATGAGCCACATTTACAAAACAGAAGATTGCAGCTGCTGGCCTCTCATCAAACAGAACCTGATAAACCTTGGAGCTGTTTTTTGAATGTCCACTGCTTTTGCTGGCCTCCTTTTTAGATATACAAGCAGTAGTATTCAAAACTAACCCACTGGATTATTGAAAGATGTAACTTTTCATAAAGGTTGTGTCTTCTTTGTCGCAGTTCTATTCTCCAAAGCAAGCAATTGGTTAAAAAAAGTTTGCCTCAGAGCCCAAATCTTTCAGCCCTCTTCTTCTTAGCCTGCCAAATAAGGAAAAATAATGACATTTAGAAAAGCTCTCTTTCCAGCATATACCATCTAATACTCTATAGTTTACAAAACCACACAAAAAGTCTTTGAAGGCATCATTACAATTTTTCATTGAAAAAAAAAAAAAATCAGCAATTTAACTCACATCTGAGATGTCTCCTGCAGATCCTGAAATAGTTACACCAAACCGCTGTTTTCTCTTCAGCAATTTGTCATTTTCTTCAAGCTGTAAATAAAATTGCTTAT